ATTGTCTGTAAGTTAATATAAATTTTTTTTTAATATTATTTCTGGATATAAAATAAATATTAAAAAGACTTCTATTAGTCCGGAAAGGATGTATTCAAAAGTTCTATCATAACTTCGCTAATTCCTGATCACAAATTCCGAAAGATCTGTGAAATTATTCTTTATGACTTGTAGGTATTATTCAGGATTTTAAGACAACTTTGGCAAAATAGGTTAATTTATACTCTTTCAACTTAGTTTTTCAATGGCTAGCAAAAATCCATTAAACCGCTATATTGGAGAACGAAAGTATACAGTAGAAAGAATTGTACCATTGTTCAAGGCGATACAATCTGTCTATAAAGAATTTATGTTCGATTGGATTGAAGTACAACTTAATTGCATCAAGGATATGAAAACATTGTTTCCAAATTTTGATATGACGCTTAATAAAGCAGATGGTGTTTGTCTGAAGGTTTCAAGTAATAAGGAAGTAGTATTCATTGAAATAGCAGGAGGTCCAGAAGTTACTAGCGCGGTAGTAAAACATGCCAAAGAAGATACCGAAAAGCTAATCAAGGAAGCGATGTTTGGATTGGTCTCTCTTTTGAGAGATTATTTAGACAAGAATGTAGACAAAGCAATGAAAATATGCACATACATGGTGCAAGTCATTGGTAATACATTTACTAAATATGTATCGATTCTTTTTTGAAAAGCATAAGTTCATATCAGTAATTTATGTCAGGCGATCGAATTACTCTAAGCGAACTTTGTCTGAATAAGAAGCATTCGTATATGGTTTCGCAAGTTAAATCAGCAATGTTACCATTTTCATTTGACGAAATCGAAAAGTTCTTAGAGGTCTTCGAATTACTTCATGCTCTAATTGTAAGTATTTTTTACATATGCCAATTAGATTTTTTTTCTTGAGGGTTTTAGTATAACATCTACATTTGGTTGTTAGAATAGGCTTGAAGAACAAATAAATGAGCTAAAGAAGCTAATGCTTTCCAATATTATTGAAGAAGAACCAACAATTCGAGACTGGATTTGGGTCCCGAATTCAATTACGGAATGGGAAGTTATAAATATAAATGATATAAAGACTTGATTTTGTTTATTTACAAGTTAAAGCTTTAGAAATAAGATAATATTTTTTTGAGCATGTTAATTTGTAATAAAAAAATAAAAATCAAGTTCATAATGATCTATGTATACTTTGAAATTTAGATAACTTTGAAAATAAATTGTATTTATAATTCCAGTTTTCATCGCACATTGCTTGATCTTGAAGTAAAAAAGTCACATATGCGTATGTGCGTGACAAATTGTCACGCCGATCACTTTGTCAGAAAATTATTAAATACGATTATCGGCCACCAGGGCCAGTTTATTGATACAACAAAAAGTAAAATAAAATACTGTAAGTTATACATAACAATAAGCCTTGTAAGGTGGACAGATAAATTTTACATGTGGAATTTATTCCAATACATGTTAATGAATACCTCTGTTACAGACAAATTATCGCTAATTTGGATTTATTATTTAATTTCATATTTATTTATTATTCGAGAATTTTCACATTCACATCGTCTATATATTCCGTCCGCCACTTTTTTACACGTTTTACAATATAGGTGTGAATGATGGTTGCATTCGTCACAAACCTTACACCCGTGCTTCCACCCTTTAAAGATATGCCACTTTTCGATATAATTTTGTTTATCTTTACGTATGAATATGTTATTCTGATCTTTCATTGTTATATGTTAACAGAAAATAATATACGTGTTATAAATTTATCTGTAATATGTAACACTTTGTGCTTACAAATAAGTTATGCATAACGATAAGCCCTGCGAAATGATACAGATAAATTTCATATGCGGAATTTATTCTAACACGTTAATGAATATTTTTGTACATGCTCAAATTATCGAAAAAAACAAAATAAAAACTTTATTATTTACGCCTGAAGAGGTGTGACATCCGTTGTCACAGTGGCGCAGTAATTTATTTTTTATCGGATGATCCTTTTAAAACTTTTGCTATTACATAATCAATATCGTCTAGACTTAGATTTGAAATATTTGATGCAAAAAAAGATTTAACACGATCTATTATTTTTTCGCCGCCAATACTATTGAAAAGTTTGAAAACTTTTTTAGCCCTTTCTTTTCTTTTTCGAAGGTTAGTCTCAGTAATTTT